TCCAAAAGCCGCCAGTGACACCGTAAAAAGTCGCCAGATTTGTCGCTAGTCACTTTTTAAAAAAAATAGTCGCTGGAGGGGTCTGAAAAGTCGCTAAATATAGCGACAAAGTCGCTGAGTTGGCAACACTGCGCACTTGCAGCGCTGGCTCGCTCAGACGCTCTGCCATAATTTTTTTTTCTTCCCCCGTTTCAGTCAAGTGGATGTGATGACGGCGGCGGCGGATGACGCATTAATCGCGCGACACAACTAATCGATGATGAAATTCGTTGCCAACGCTTTTAAAAGTCGATTTTATCGATTCGTTGTTGCAGCCCTAATTCAAAGGCTGGAAGGAGGAATTGGCTCCACTTCAGTTCGCTCCGACTTTATTTATATTCATGTCTGACTTAAAACCTAGGCCAATGCCAATGCTGTGGTGTGCGCCTATAATCTGTTATAGTCTGTTTCAACTGTACCACAGAATTTCAGAGATGAGGATTGCTTATTGTGTGATAAACCGTGGGATAAGATATCATAAAAACATACACTAACTATACTTAACAATACAGAGTGGGTTTACATAAAGTGATCGTTGTGGTAAGAGCCTGTTTTAAAAAAAAAAAAAAACAGGCTATTAGCTCATTTCGAATGGGATGCGAAGTGACGTTTTTTAATCTGGTCTCGTCAAATAAACTTTTAAATAAATAAGAAACGCGGAGAAACATGAATGCAGCGAGGTGTTACATTCGCAGCTGGAAACAGTGCGATAAATAAGACAATACACGTGTATCGGTCACATCATTAAATCAAACGCCGTGTGTCCCAGGGCCATAATTACATGAAGGAAAAATGTCAGAAAACGTCTTCTGCTGTAAATTGGATCGCGCGTGGAGCGATTTCGCCGGAGCGGCAGGAAACATCCTCCTGAGCGGGAATTGCGTGGCGCACCGCTCCGTTCACATGCTCTGATTGATGCAGGCTGAAAGAAGAAGTCGGATGTAAAACTGATTCTCTTTTCTCATCTTTATAATTAGACTGTTAAGGTAACACTTTGCTTGTAATATACAGTCATATATCTTTATTATTATTATTTTCAATGTTTAGTGGAAACAAAGTACAGGCAGTTAAAGGTCTAGTGCCCCTAGTGGCCATAAGTTAACGGTGGGCCTTTAAACAGATTATTATGAGAATAAATACAAAAACACTATATCATGCACTTTAAACGTTTTCAGTCGTTCTGAAGGTGTGGCGGCTTTTAGTTACACATTTAGCAGTAACCCTGTTAAAGTTATAGTTTATTTCAAGGCAAGATTCCACCAACATACACTTTACATCTAAGGAAGCGGCCGTTCCAACCGTTGCATTTTCTGAATTCTCCCAAGTGGTGAACAACGTTACACGATTGAATAAAGAGAATTTGATTGGTAGATTATCAAGGGGGCGGAATTGTTGTGGCGGAAGGTTCGCAAGCAGGTTTGGTTGTGGCCGGTTTCTCAGAAGCATCTTGCTAACCAGTTAGCATCTTAGTGCTAGTAGGTTCCCAATGGGAAATTCCATTGGGACCAAGTAGCACTAAATTGGTGACTTAGAAACGACGCTGTCAAGGAACGCTGTGGACAGCGGAAACATGCAAGAGGAGGAGAGTTTAGTGTCGGAGGTCGTGGATGAGTCTCCTCCGTCATCCATTTTTTATTTAGAGGAGGAAAGCGGGGACGAAGATGTTGTGGAAGAGGACGCCAGGGCGGCAGAAGCTTGGTTTGGTGTAGAAGGCTTCCAGCCGTACATGTTTGAGCCCTTGCCTCGCAACGCTGCCAGTTCTGTTAGCTCTACGCCTGCCGAAGACACAGACGTCCATCCCCGTGAACGCTGGGACGCAACTCAATGGGAAAGGAAAGGATTCTGGTTTCAACCGTTGCGTATATTAGCTGCGACATATGAATCAAGATGCTATGACCGAAAAAATATGATGGACAGATGACCGTTGATATATGATTGGCCGAATTTAGGTGTTCAGGCTGACGTAGAACTAACTGGCCTGTATAAGATAACGAGAAAAACAACAAAACATATTTTAAAGACAGGACTTTTTTAAGAATAGACATTTTCTAAATTTTGGCACAATATCATCTGATAAAGAGTACATTTATATACACGCTTAAGCCAGAATGATTTGACATTTAAATATGACTTCCTTACGACTTTAAAGAAAAAAAGTGAGAATGGAGACATTGATTTTACCCTGGGTACTCTCTTCCTGGGCTGAGGCAGGTTCAGCTGTCTGTGGTTGGCTTTAGGTGGACATTGCTCCCCGTTTTTATTTGGTTCCTTTGAAACTGTGGAACAAAAACAGTGAGTTTAGTTTCATCCTGCAAACAAACAAACAAAAAAAAAAAACAGTTTAAAATCACAAGATAAAGAAAGCAGTAAGGTGGCAAGATAAGATCAGAAATAAAGCCACTTAACACTTACTAAAATCAACAAAGATAAAACCAGGGCTGCCACTAACGAGTATTTTGCTAATGGATTCATTTGGATAGATTTTTTTTTTGATTGAGCTATAATTACAGTAATAATCTGATATCAAAAGGTTCTTTAAAGATTTTTTAACAGTTAAACCAGGTTAAACTAACAAATTATCAGTTCAGCATTATAGAACATATTGATAGCATATTATCTTAAATGCAAAATATTTACATATATTTCTACTATTTTGCTAGAAATGCAGCTCTAAATGGGTCGCTCTGTCAGATAAAGGCATGTTTTACAGTCTCTGTATTCCAGTTAATGATTATAGTTTCAGTCCTAGCTGAAACATTTGCACCATTTATTTAAACAGCAGTTTTTAAAAAACTTATCTTTGGGGTTTGATGAGACCACTTGTCCAGATCTTTCCTACATTTCAAATGTCTTATTTAATTAAATCTGCTGTTGCCCCTCATTACATATAATGCTAACAGGCAGCACTTCTTATTGGTCAGAAATTAATGGAGAAAATGTTGGACGCTGGAGCTTCCAACAAAAAAAAGAAGAGATACCAAGACGTGGTGTCAGCTGTAGCGCTGTAGTAAGAAAAACAAAACAAAAAACTCAAGCTTAAACTGCTTCTTTCTGCTAAACTGAAGTTTATATCGACACTGCAGCATAGCCATATATTAAACGACAACCATTTAAAAGCACTTTCTACCTTTTCAAAGATACAGACAAACGGGAAACAATAAGACATAGGCCTATAGATATTTATGTTTAAAGGGAATAATGGGTGAAATTGACACTAATGCAAGAGGAATAGCCTAAACATAATTAATGTAATTATGAATAAAAGGAGGAACATTTGCTTAACCTCATACAAATTAACAACTAGTACTTGGTTTAACAGGTATATTGAATGTGTTCAGCAGCAGCCATGTGCTCTAATATGATGTTCAGTTTAGATCTTCGAGCTACAGGAGGCTCTTCCTGCCTGCAGCTATCAATATTAACAACTTATTAGGAAAAAAACTTAGAGTAAAATTATTTTCTGTCCCCTTTTGGGATGAAAAAACAATTTTTTAAATTAATAGAATACATATTTCAATAGATTTATCATATAAAGACCGTCTTTTAGAAGCATTTTTTGCAGAATCTAACTCACATATGTCAAAGTCACATATGTGCCGGGTCTGACCCGTGAAGTGTTTTACCATGGCCCCCTGCATGATATTTAAGTTCCATTAGAACCGGCCCACAGGCCACGGCCGATTGTGCGCGCTGCTGTGACTTTGCATGCTGCCGTTGCATTGTGGGGGATGTAGTGTTGGTGCAGTTGTTTTGCACCAAAAATACATTCCTAGGGGAAATCATGATTGTGATTTTCTTTTATTAACATTTTTTTTTGTTGTGCTTTGCATGTTTGGATTGTTTTGGTTTTCCCCTTTAACAATTCAAGGTGGGCTAAAAGGGGAATGCGCTATGTTGCTCCATCCATCAGCCTCTGCTGACACCTGTAGTCTGTAGTCTTTTTGATTATTCTGTCCTTTTTGGTATTGTTGTGCTTTTTGTTTAATAAATTCTTTTTTTTAAAGAACCTCTGGATCTTCTGCCGTGATGCATCACAAAATTTCTTTTTACAAGTTGTGATTTTTCTTTGAAGGACGCATTGTCTGTGTGCCTTAGACTCAGGGAAAAATGCAGATAAGAGCCATGAGAGAGAATACAACTGATTACTGTAGATTGTTTTCTTTTCTTATTTTACTATTTGAAAGCGGTGATCAGTGCGATCATAGAGCAGCACAGTAATGCATTTTTTTGGTTTATAATAAATGCACTTTCATTTATGTATTTATCTTACTAAGTTTATTAGTTTGTTCAATAGCCTACGTTTATATCAATATGTTTTAATAAACATTTAACCAGGCCGGTCCTGGCCCTCTGTGTATTTATCTTACAAAGTTTATTATTATAATAAAAGTTTATTAATAATATCTATATTAATATATATATATATTTTTTAGGTCTTGGTTCAATAGGCTATGTTCATATTAATAAGTTTTAATAAACATTTAACCAGGCCGGTCTTGGCCCTCTGTGTATCTTTGACATCCCTGATCTAACTTAATTCTTACAGAACATATTTTTTAGCGCAAATCTTCAAAAAAGCCTTAAAAATAGAGAATAACCCCTTAGTTCTGCCAAATACCACAGACTACTACCGTAAACTATGGTGGTAAGTTCCCACCAAAAGCACTGAGAATGCTCACCTAGACTCTATAATTTCCCTGGCTCTTAGAGGTTTGAATTACTGCTGAACATTTAAAGCTACATATGCTGCCTGAGGCTGAGGGAGCAGCTAGCAGAGGAGGTGGAAGCAGAGAGGAAGGCCTCTGGAGTTACATGGATGTGACTGGATAGGCTTCCACAGACATAGCAGGCATACCAGGACGGTTTCTGGCAGCCACTAACCTCACCGCAGTTGTGTAACATTCAATTCAAGGCTCAGCGGCTCCCAGAGGGCAAAACGAGCTCCTTCAGGCTCTAAAGTTTTCTGATAAGGTGCATTTTTTATGGTCGTATAGGAAGGCTTTGAATTCAACAGGAAACAGACGAACAAACTGGAGCAAATTCTTCTCTGTAAAGTCAATGATTTCATTTAACCTCAAACACTGGAATTAAATAAAAATATCTATAAACTAGGGTTAGAAACTAGACTTTAAAAACCCAGTTTGATATTGGTTTAAAAATATTAATTCTGAGGATTTAACATCTAAAAATGATTCTAAAAAAATAAGTGTCTGGAAAACATAAATGTTATTTTATTAATGCAGAACTGCGACAAAGACGGACCATTATTGTTCAACGATGACTTCCTGAAGGCCTCGAAGAATTTGGAGAGGTAGAGGACCATCAGCAGCTTGTCTGGTTCGCCTCTCGCAGCCATTTCCTTCCCTGTGGTCACTGGCTGGATGCCGAACTCTCGCTCAGCCACATCGAACGCCAGCTGGTTGTTCTTCGCCACATCCTCCTCGTTCAGGGAGTCAAAGTCACTGAATGGACAGAAAGAGATAATCATGGGTTCCCAAAGTAAGGAGGAAGACAAGAGGATTTCACATTCACTGGGATGTGACCCCTGATGCATAGAGGGTCAAATTAGTTCAGAAAACACAATCATACGAATGTCTAATTAAATAAATTGTATAATTTTTTTTATTAATACCTGATTCGATGTCAAATATATCTTTAAATTCTAAAATGAACCATTAAATAATGAAAATATATTTAAATTGATTAAATTAATTATTAAGTGTCATTTTATAAAGTACATTTCACTGTGTTTTTAGGGGCCCCTATAGTTGGGGTCACAGCATAGGCCCTTTCAGCCCATTTTTGGAGATGCTGAATCGCCCCTAAGTTTAATCTGAGCACCTTAAAATATTGTTTTTATAGTCTATGCACTTTTCAAAATAAAAACTTACTATAAAAGTGTAAAAAGTGTACTGTAATTTGTTTAAAAGGATGAAGAGGAAGATGACCAGTACGACTTTAGAGACTTAACTAATCTAAAACTTTAATTCCTTTAAAAAAAAAAGTCCAATTTGCTGTTTTTTTGGTGTTCATCAGATGGTAACTTGTTAATGATAAATGAGCTGTAAAAATGTCACGATTTATGAAGACAGGAATCCTCCAAACATTTCTGTATTATAGCAACTAAATATCCATTATTAGCAAATATACAGGAGGTTAAGAACCTTTGCTTCATGCAGAATCAAAGTCAAAATAAAACTTCAGAGTTAAGCCGTCTGTTAGCGTAATGTTTCATAAGTTTCCTGAATGTGCTCCGTATGCTTTTGTTGGTTCTTACATGAGTTCAGGCCTCTGGCGGTGAATGAGAGCACACAGGGCCAGGCCGCTCCTCCAGGACGACGTGAGGTCGGTGACATCCACTGCTCTGTATCCCTGAGTTTGGGTCTGACTCCAGGTCAGGAGCCTGCCGGGCCGTACCTCGGACTCTGCGTGAGAGAAACCACACGTTGGTTCATTACCGCCAAGATGGCTGCACAGCATCAAAGGAAGAAGCATTTTCAGGCCAGAAAGGGGATTGTTTTTCCCCTGAGTGTTTTATTTCTGTCCGGACTGGAAACTGCTTGTTCTTTTGGACCTCTGCCATGTGAGCTGATCCACTTTCTGAAGCTAAAGCTGCAGAACCTCTGCATCAGAGCAGAAACACAGCTAAACTGTCCTACTTAGAAAATAACCAGAACTTCCACACTTTGATGCATAACAAGGCTTCAGCCCATGTTGGGATTCATTTGTAGAGGCAACGCCGTCACTGAGGGAGAGAGAGGCTGCTGCTTTATAACCCTGTATGGATATCGAACGAGAAGTACAAAATGCACAATGCACAGACATTTTCCTTTCATTAAACATATCCTAATAACTTCATAGGCAGATCCAGTTAAAGCAGCCAAAATGCTGTGTTCAGAAGCTGTCCTGCTGCAGTAATGTGCCTAGAAACATAAGTTGAATTTACTTAACCAAGTTTTGTCAACTGCTTCCACTAAACAAAGTAGATTAAGTGAGTATATTTACTTTAACACCTTAATTAAAGACAAAAAAATCAAGAGGATAAAATCTCAGAAAACTAAATGCTGAGAAGGTAAATTTAACAGATGCTAATAAGGGTAAAATATACCAGTTTTGTTCAGTTTAGCTTATATTATGGAGCTGCATTAATGTTACTAGATTTCATTGATGGAGTTTATTTTTTCAGTTTAATGAAACCAGCTGACATAAATATATACATAACATATAAACATATGACATAACACTTTCATTTCTAATAATAAATAATCAAATCTATCAAACTGAACCATCTCAGAGCTTTTTAGAAAGTCAGATTTAGGAACAATGAAAAAGGTCTCGATTAATAACGATCAATAATAACCTTAGATTGAAAAATTACAATGAAACAGATCTTCATCATCACCCAAAAACCAAGTCTATATAACAGCTTCTATTTTAGTAATGGTGCTACAGAGGTTAAAAAAAAGACATGCCGCAAAGCATTCTGGGAAATAACAGGAATGTTATATATCTTATATTTATGTTGAATTAGTTTGGTTCATCTTTAGTGAATGAAAATCTCTTGATTAAATACAAGAAAACCTGCATAATTTGCATAATTTGAAGCCTTACTCTGAGCATTAAATAGTGACATAAAACAAGGAATGTCCCAATTTCATTTTAACAATCAGAACCAGAATCAACTGTGGAGAATATTAATTATCATATATATCTATTCAATATTAAGTATCAGGATTGTTTTGAAATCAATCCTTCATCTTCAGCTGTTCAAACATCTCTTCCAGCTATAATTTAACCTGACAATGTTCAGCATTAACTCAAATTTTGGTTTTAATCCGTAATCCGACCATAAGACAGTTACATAAAGCAAGCCGCGTGTCTATTTCAGACTACTGGTGGCTAAAAACAACACAACCACTTCAGGGTCAATCTATAGCTTAACAACAGGAAAATTAAAGATGTCTTTTCTAAATAAATCACTGACGACATATGCATTTATGAAACCCATTGTTAATAAAATATCCACATATTTAAACACATTCATACCATCTAAATTATCCAAGTATCTAGTGAGCTTCGGTTTCATCCATGCAATGTCGCTCCACTGCTCTCACCGTCTCAAAAACGATTTAAAGTCGTAGGGAAATCATATTTAAATGTCAAATCCTTCTGGCTTACACATGTATATAAATGTACTCTTTATCAGACGATATTGCCCCAAAATTTGGAAAATTTCTATTTAAAATTTTTTTTTTTCTTCGTTATTTTATGCAGGCCAGTTAGTTATGCGTCAGCTTGTACACCTAAATTCGGCCAATCATATATCATTGGTCATCTGTCAATCAAATATTTTCTGGTCATAGCATCTTGATTCATATGTTGCAGCTAATGTATGCAACGGTTGAAAGAAGAATCTTCACAGAGAAGTGCTGACGGTTACAGGGTTATATTTTAAGAGCGAATTGTTGGCCGTTTCTCAATTCACTAGAACGTAAGTATGGACTCGTGTCCTCGCCAAGTAAGTTCTTGAAAAGAACACAGATAAGTGTGGCCTCTGGGAGAACAGGAGCACGCAGCATAACTATGGGTCAATTGGAACAGAAGCTGACTTTTTTCATTCAGTGGGGGAATAATAATTAACAAGGTCAGATAAACACAAATCAAATGAACATTTTGCCAAATAAAACTAAAACATCGGCATCATGGCCATCAGTCCTTCATACAGCTGAGAGAGGGCTGCTGCAGACGGGCTGCGGTTAGCCCTGGCTGCCGTTACCCTCGGTGGTCCGCTGGTTGCAGCGCTCCTCTCAACTTCTGAACATTTTATTTAAATTAGGCATTAAATCCGTAAATGGGCCATATAGTGACGCTTAAAAGTATAATGTTCTCGCCTCAAATGATCTTAAAACTTACTTTTATTGAACAACAGCAAAAGAAAAGAAAACTTTTAAATCAATACTCTGAGTTCTGTGAACGCTCCATTGAAAGGAGACTGAGGAGACTCATCCACATTTCCGCTGTCCATAGCGTTCCTTAATAGTGTCGTTGCTAAGTGCTACATAGTCCCAATGTAATTTCCCAATGTTAGCACTAAGTTGCTAACTGGTTAGTAAGATGCTTTCGAGAAACCGGCCACAATTTAACTTGCTTGCAAACCTTCCGCCACAACAATCCCGGCTTCTTGATAAACGACCAATCACATTCACTTTATGCACTGATGTAAAGTCGGGCACCACTCTGGAGATTTTCCAACTGCAACGTTTGGAACAGCCATTTCCCTACGAATTTAACAAGTTCATGAGAAGAAGAGAAAAACCTCAGAAATAAGACCAGAGTTTACTCAGGACATGATGTTCTGTTATCGTCATTTATGGTTAATATACAAAAAATGTCAAATTAGCCATTTCACCTGAGGGTATCACTACTGCCACCGGCTGGTTTGGAGAGGAACTGCTCATTTTGGACATGAACTATGTTTATATACGAATAACAATCACCTGGAAACACTGGCCTCGACATGCCCTACTCTAGCTCCGCCCATGCCTACAAACAATAGCTTCTTAAATTCAGTTTATTGCTTTTTTTGTTTTGTTTTCTGTTTGCATTATATACCTAATGGAAATGTTCAGCTGGATTGAACATTCTTTAACCTCAGAGCTCTTTAATTAGCAGTAAAACAAACAGATTTCCCTTTGGATGTTAGCAGCATCTCTTCCAGGCTATTTTAATTAGTTATCTATTCGTGTTAAACAATATTTTAACATGATAAAAGCAGCTCATATCTTGAAATGTTGCAGTCACTTTTAAAAAGGTTGGTTTGTCCTTTTAGTTTCCAGAGGTTCATAGAGATGATGTGCAGGTGTCTGTTCTGGTTACTTTTTATTGACCACACCAATCTGCTCTACAGCCAGTCACTTTAGGACAAGGGTGGACAATTCCACATCCTGCGACTTTTAGATCCATCCTTGGTCCAACACACCTGAATCAAATGGCTGAGTTACCTCCTCAGCATGCAGAGAGTTCCTCCATAGTCCTCTCAATCTTCTCATTTCTTAATTCAGGTGTGTCGAACCAAAGGCACATCTAAAAGTTGTGGTATGCTGGCCCTCAGGAACTGGAATTGCCCATCCATGCTTTAGGAGGAGCTCAGCAGATCCTGTGGCAGGTTAAGCTTACATTACAATGACTGTTTCTTCTGATCAGACATCTTGAGCTGTTTCATCATGCAGGATCCTCCAATATGCTTCAGAACCTGAGGTTTAAACCCATAACTTTACGTTGTCTATTATCCCTCCATGAATATATTAGGTTTATAATGCAAGCAGCCTATGCTACTTAGGGAAGGAACTTCTACAGGTTTCAAATCAGTCCGACCCAAGCACCTCATGTCCACACACGCCTTAGAAACCCTCACCTGAGTGTAATGTCATCCAGCCGTATTGTCTGATAAGGCGTGCCAAGCCAGTGACTCAGGTTGCTATACAGAGAGGGCTGAGTAAACATTCACTCTGCCGAGTCTTTTCCCAACTAAACACGACGGTTTCACTCCGGTAATACATTGTCCTTCCATAAACAGCTGATTATTTTCAAGCTTCCACGCCCTGTTAAGGGAAGCTTGTTTAGGTCTTCATTTTAATTCAGTTTGTAGACATTTGATCATGTTTATATGTAAACATGAAGCTAAGAGGCTGTGGGTCTAAACATTGTAAAGTCAAACATTAATCCAGACAAATGTTTGCTTATATGAGCAACGTTTAAAAGAAAAGGTGCAACAGTTCTCCACCTCTCATTCAGTGTAATTCAGCACCATGTTAGCGAATCGTAAAAGTCTGCATGCTGGATTGAGGTTCACCCTTTTCTCAACCTGACATTAACCAACAACACCAAATTCTAACCAGCTTCTGCACCCGTAGTTTGGTTCTCTTGAATTCCAGATGGAGACTTTGCAAGAAAAAACTCCTTAAAACCAAACATTTTAAAAAGGATATGTATGGAACTAAATTTGGGCCATAAAGTTTGTTTAAAAAAAAAAAAAAAATTCATTTTCATAATGGAAAAAAAGAAACTTTGAAACTTGTGTTTTTTTAAACTGAAGAAAAGAAGATTTAAAACTGGGGGGGGGGGGCTTAAAGCTACATTTAAGGTTTTGGTTTTTTTTCTGTTTTAAACCGTTTTTCTAGTTTAAAAAACATCTTACTTTCAGATTCAAAAACATTTTTCAGTTTCAAATCTTAATTAATTGTTATATATAACAAACCTTTTGTCTTTAATTACAGACAGTTTAAACTGTTTAAGACTGTACAAAAATCTGGAAACATTGATTCATTTAAAAGGTTAATAAAGTATTTTAAAAGAAATATTGCTGAAACTGAGTTTTAAGAAACCTTTACCTTTTCTGGAGAGGTTGACTGATCTTCGTGAAAGCCCTCCTTTTTCCACCACACCTGAATTACCATCAATGAATAAGTGACGTACCTGAAAGAAACAACCAAGCACAATTGGAGACACACTACGGTGCAGCTGCCCATTATTTTAGACAGAGATTAATTAATCGATTTTTTTTTTTATCACTATAGGGAGTATAGAGATCTGCTGGTGAAGATTCTCAGTCATCCAGTTCAAAGTCATTTCAAAAATGTTAAAAACAACTGACAGCAGCTGTCCTACAAACTCCCACATCTTGACTGAATACTGAGGCTGTTTAGATGCCCGTCGAAGTTCCAGGCGAGCTGAAGCATTTCTCTTAGTGGTCAGGTGGTATGGTGAGGTAGAGAGGCTTCGGACGTCATCTATTTTGGCTCCTCCCCCAAATAAAGCAAGCCTCGATACGTGCCCCGTGGAAACGCCCCCTCCACTACTCGACCTCGAAGCCTCGGATCATCTCATAACATCCCTTATTTCAGCTCTGCAGGAGTGGAGTCCAGTCTCTTCATTGGTTCGGCAGGTTTAATGCAGCAAATAAATGGCTAAATGTGTGAATTCAAAACATTTGTTCTCCGTTGTGCCGCCTGCTAGCATGTTCAATTCAATTCAGTTTATCTATATAGCGCCAGTTCAAAACACGTGTCATCTCAAGGCACTTAACAGTTCACAAGATCATATAGTCAGGATTGACTCAAAGTTTTCTATCTAAGGAAAACCAGCTGATTGCATCGGCTCATTGACTCAAATGCAATCCCTCACACTAAGCATGGAGCGACAGTGGAGAGGAAAAACTCCCTTTTAAAGGAATAGTACACCCAAAACATGATTAGCCTTCATTTTCTACTCACCCCCATGCTGAACAACACTCTGGAGTACTTTTTTGATATC